CACCCCATTTGTTATACCAATTTTTTAGGTGTTGGACTAAGATTCTGGTAATTTGATGCTTTCACACAAGATTATATTCACACTTTTTTCTTTCGTTTTGGAATGGAAATTAAATTCATTTGACAAATGAAAGAGAGAATAATAATAAAGGCTTTTGAACCAAAATAGTTTTTGAGATTTACATAATTCCTCACTTCGGTCTCTGAGATTTAAAATTGATAAAAGTGGTCCTTGAGTTTGTCCACAGTCAATCAGTTTGATCATTCCATGAAAAATCTCTATTAAGTAAGGACCACAATGACAAAAACACATTCAAATTTTGTCAAATCATTTTGCCCATTGTTTATTAAATTAAGGGTATTTTTGTCTTTTTAGTGCTTATTTAACAAATGTTTTTCTTGAAATGACCAAAATGATTGATGGTGGGCAAACTCAAGGGCCACTTCGATTTCAATTTCAGGAATTAAAGTGATAAATTATGTCATTCTCAGATACCGCTTCAATTAAAATGCCAAGTAATAATTGATGGAGACATGAAGTTACTAGAAAGCCTTTTGTTGGTTTCAGTGGGAGGCAAAGACTCTCTTAAGTAACACTTTCCTGCGTTCATTCGTTAATTTGTGAAGAAATTTGCCTATACTTTTTGGTTGGTTGTTTGTTTATCTCCATTTTTTCAACTAGCAAGATACTATACACACTCTTTTTAGTAAAGCTTGGTCAAGTCTTTTTTCTGCGTACTTATCATGGTTGTCGGATTATGCTACTGATTTTTTGGGTTCGCAATGTACTTTGAGAAAAATGAGTAATGTTAGGTAAATTTTTTTTTCTGTTATATTTGTAAATTATGTGATGTATCACTAACAAAAAATAAACACGTTAATTTATATTTAATTAATAATTAAATCATTAATAATCACGTCATATAATTTACAAAAGTTATTTAAATTGAAAGTCTCTCTCACATTACCTAAAAAAAAATTAAAAAATATGCAAAAGTGTGGTCAAGTCAACTTTGCATGCTTTTCCAATGATGTCATTCTTATGCTTTGCTTTCCTCATTTATTGATATCTTTATGTTTATTTGGGTAGGAATTGGATCATCTCTGAGGCAAAGCCTCGAGATCCTCTTGACTCACTAACAGGGGCTATTGGATTTTGATCCAATAGCTATAATTATTGTAACTTTTACATGAAGTCCATGTTTGTAGCCGTTGGATCAAAATCCAATGGTCCGTGTTGCTGGGTCATGAGGATCCCGAGGCTTTGCCTTAGAGAGGATCCAATTCCATTTGGGTAGGGGTAGATCCGAAGGTGAAGGTTAGTTGTACTTGTGTTTATGTATTCATCTAACAAATAGTTGTATATAATCTATGACACTTACAAGATTTCTCAACCTGAAGGCAAATAATTGCCTATTGTGTTGATATTGTTGGAATCAAATGGTAAAGTTAGAATTTTCAAATAATGAGGTCATAATATCAATCAAAAAAGTTTTATTGGCAATTTCGTCAAGGGCCTAGTAAGCATCTGTCAATTCCTGCCAACATATGATGAAAGCTTATGTCAATATGTCAACAATTACTATTATTTGTAGAGGCTTGTCAAGGGTGGATTCAGGATATGGTGGAGTAAGTTGAAGACTACCAATGCTTGTCAACTAAGGTATTTCATCCAGCACATGATGCATACAATAGAGTCACACACAAAAAGAGAGAAAAAGAAAACCAATATGGTAGAAGAAAATAGAAGAAGTAGGAGAAGGAGGTTGTAATTTAATTTGCCTTAATTAGTTGTTTATAGGGGTCAAATACAATACACAAACAAATATACATGACGTTTTTAAAGTTATTGGAATCAAGGATAACCAATAACCTCATGTTGGCTCTGCCATTAATTGGAATTAAGGCCTAAACTGATTTAACTATTGTAAAATTGATGTGGATTGAAATTATTTACAAATTAACGGCTGAGATTACTTTTAGTTGTTATAGGTTTAGATGTGAGCAAGTGGCAATGTTTTATAGGACAAGGCCTTTAAATGGCTGAGATGAGCTTATAGGCTCTCCCTTATCTAGCCTAAATAGCTATTTTTGTACAAGAGATTATATTCACACATCTTAAATTACTTCCCCACGCCCTTTTAGTTTTTTAATATTTTTTTATCAAGTGTTAGTGATGTGTAGAATATCAAAAAAATATTAAAAAAAATAAAAGAATGTGAATGAAGTAATTTGGGATGTGTGAATATAATCTCTGTTTTTGTATTCTTGCGGGAATGAGAATGTAAACACATATGGCATGACTTGTGCTCTGTGACATATGGGTTCTCTCTGATATCATCTTCTTCATTTTCTTCTTTCCATTGTGAAATCCTTACCAAAATCTCAGGCCAAATTACAGAAAGCCAACAGATATATTGCTAGAAAGAAAAAGTGACTTGTTATCGATACTCTGAAATGTGGTTGTTCACTTTCTCTTCATGAATATGAAAATAAAAGGAAAAATTCTAGCCACTCTTCTTTTTCTTACCGAACCCTAAATTTACGAATTTATAGCTGCCTGCTTCTTGTTCCGGCTTGTGGAAGAAACTAAGCAATCAAACAAATTTATCGTACAAATTTCACTTCTTTCGAATAACGTATATTTACAGTATAAATTTCAGAATCAGAACCGTTTATCTTCTTAATCTTCATTTGAAGATCATCTCTAAAGCATTTGAATTGTAGATTGTTTAGTCATCCAAATGTATGAAACAAATAGACGGGTGAGTAACGAGTAACATATTCATGATGAACCGTCCATTTATTTATACAGAAAAGATGCATTACTCGCAAAATGTGGAGTAACATATTCAATACAAATAATTTTTTATAATGATGATCTTCAAATGAAGATTAAGAAATAAAACGGTTCTGATTATGATGTTATACATAAAAGATACATTACTCGCAAAATGTGAAATATCTCCATTCCTCAATGGAAGAACACAAATATTATTCATATTCTCCAATCGGTGTGCCTCAAAAATGAAAAGGAAGATCAAATTGAGGAATAAAATGGCTATTAATATCATCATGTAAGTGCTAATTCGTTTTCATTCTTGGGACCTTTGGGTATAAAGTTTGATTCATAGAAATGTTATGTCGGGGGAGTCCAAATGATGGCCTTGTTTACAAGGCATGCAAAGCCCAGAACACTTGTGGCCGAAGCTCGGTTCTTTTTGCTGTCCAGCTGCCCACAAATGAAATAAATAAAACTAAGGTAAAATTGAGAGAGTAAATACATAAATACAATCATGGAGAATATGAATGAAATAATTATGGTTATTTGATTTAACAATTTTCTACCTAGATAAAAGTTGACTTGTAATATTTCTCTTAAAAAAGGTATTTTTAGCTTAAGAAATAAATAATATAATAGCAAATGTTGTATTTTTTACTTGATTCTTTCTTTCTGTTTTACACAAATAAGAGAGTAAGACTATTATTATAGTTCGACGCAAGTTTTATGTGTAGTTTTTAACTCGCCTAATCCTTTAATTTTCATAAACACTGTTTTTGTGGTTTACTCCCTTTGATCCATTATCGTCAAGCAACTTTGTTGATACACAAAATCAGTGAGGGCTTTGGTACAACAGAAAGTGTTAAGTTTGTGACCTTCGCTAGATTGCTCCGGTCACTGGTGTGGATAAATATGTAAATGGATAGAGACAGGGAAGCAAACACAAGATGTACGTGGTTCACCCAGATTGGCTACGTCCACAGAGTAGAGGCGTTCTCATTAATTGTGAAGGGTTTACACAAGTACATAGGTTCAAGCTCTCCTTTAGTGAGTACTAGTGAATGATTTAGTACAAATGACATTAGGACATATTGTGAGAGAATGATCTCTATTTATAGAAAAGAGTTTCTAGTTTCATTCTGACATTGACACGTGTTGTGTTGTGATTGGCTTCTGATGTTGACACATGTCGTGCTATGATTGGCTTCTGATGTCGACACATGTCGCGCTGTGATTGGCCTCCTGGTTGGAGGGAAACTCTTCTGGGTCCTTGACGGTATAACGTTGACCGATGCTCAGTAGTTTCGGGATTGGTCAAGTATGGTACAAACAAACTTCATTTTCATCTCCTTACTCACTTAGGGAATACTTGTACCAAATTGATTCCATTATGAAATAAAAAAGTATATATTATGACATGTATATCTAGGGAATAAAAAAGTATACATTATGAAATAAAACTCTTCTAGCTACTTTTCTAACACATGTCACAAAACTTAACACTATTTAATTTTCACCAATTAAATGGTGTTACATTATGGAACAAGTGTCAAAAAGTTAGAGAAGTCACAAAGATGTCACATACAAAATGGGTGTAGAAGATTTGAACTCGATGTTGAGGGGTGTTAATTGCCTTCAATTATATTCTGATGGGATAGTTCTCAGTTTTGATTTTGGTTACTCACAAAAACAAATGTTGTTAAGAGCAAGTCTACCCCTTAAAAAATGCGCCAACACTCAGCCCATTTAATTCACTCAGTGAACAGTGATAGACCCCAATACACAGTAATAGGCCAAATGCATCTCCACCCCTAAAAAATAGCCTAGTCAAATTTATTAAAATATTATTATTTTTAATTTCTGACTTTATAAAAAATTATTATTAATTTCTGACATTTTAATTTTTTTTTAAATTGGTTGAAAAATCTAGACCGTTGATCTGAAAATTGAACTGTCCTCATTGTGCCACGTCAGTAGCCATTAATTTTAAATTTCAATTTTTTTTTACCGTTGGAAATCCAACGGACAAAGAGGAGCCACATGCCCCCATGCCGGAACCTTATAGTGTGCTTGCACAGTGGGCCCCGCCTCTGTGACGTTGTTGGCCACTTGCGACCACGCATGGGTGTTTTCCACGTGCCTGGTGCAAAAAAAAAATTTTAAACGGCATGTAAAGTCACATAGGCCGGGCCTTGGCTCAGAACATTTTGGGCCGACCTATGGGATGGCTTGGACTGTTAGCTAGCCGATTGGACTGGGCTAGAGGGAATTGGCTGGGTGCCGGGCTATCCACTCCCGGTGGACTTGCTCTAAAGGAATTCAAAAAAAAGAATAAAAAGAAACCAAAAAGTATGGAAGGCGAATTGGGATGATTACTAGGTACTTAATTTGTTAGACTTGGTAGTGATATATAGCTTCACTACGAAACTAAAACCCTAGACGGTTAACTGTAATAACCAAACCATGCATGCAAAATCTCGTAACTTAAAACAAACCAATTATCTCCGAACAAAATAACCGCAGCTAAAACAAACTCAAACCTCACATAGGCTTCGGTTCTAACCTTCACTATCGATTGTTACATCGAACCAAACATTTTAAAAATCTCTCCACTCCATTTCTTACTAAATCCAACTTCTCCAACATTTCATTTCAAATTCTCTCACCTTGAATTCAGAAGACTCGAGCGATCAATTCCGGGGAAAAAAAAGTAGCGTTTAACCCTTGCTTCCGAGGTCTAGAAACCAAAAGAAAATGGTGTGTAAGATCTTGAAGAAAGCCGCAATCGACATAAATCCAATGTCCATCAGCCGCTGTCACGGCATAAGGCGGCGCCCGCCACAACTGCTCAGTTATAAAGGCTGCAGCTGCTGCTGCCTCCTCTATCGTGCTGACCCGCATTGGCTTCAATAAAGGATTTAAGTTCATTCAAAAAAGACAAACCCGAGAGGGCCAACCCGAATCCGAATTAACCAAAGAACGCCGTCCGCTCCCACCGCTGACTTCGCCGGAGAAGCGGACCGTGTTCCTTGATCTCGACGAGACACTGGTCCATTCCGTGACGGGCCCGCCGCCCAAGAAATTTGACTTCGTCGTACGGCCGAAGATTCGCGGCAAAATCATGACTTTCTACGTCGTGAAGCGTCCCGGCGTGGACGAGTTTTTGGAGAAATTAGGGAACAAGTACGAGGTGGTTGTGTTCACGGCCGGGTTGCGCGAGTACGCAACGCTGGTGCTAGACCGGCTGGACCGGAAGCGGGTGATATCACACCGTCTCTACAGGGACACGTGTACGGAGATAAATGGTAGGTTCGTGAAGGACTTATCCGGATTGGGGAGGGACCTGAGCCGACTGGTGATCGTCGACGACAATCCCAACGCGTACTGCTTCCAGCCGGAGAACGCGGTCCCAATCCGGCCGTTTGTGGACGACGTGGCGGACCGGGAGTTGAGGAGGGTGCTGGAGTTCTTCGAGGACGAGGAGACTCGCAGTTGTGACGACATTAGGGACGCCGTGAGGCGGTTTGTTGGATATCACGAGTCGATAACTTCATCATCTGATGACGACGACGGTGACGACGATGGTGATGGGTTGGAGTTGGAGTTGGAGTTGATGGACGCCACGTGTAAGCTTCCGGTGCTGATCGTTTCATCAAAAGCGCGGGAAATCACGAGTCGACGTAAATTTCAGCCTTTTGGAATTCCCATTTTGGAGTTTCGGACGAGGATGGTGGTGATGTTCTGTTTGTTTCTGCTACTTCTTCATGTAATGTGCTTTCGCAGAGCATCAGTCCACACTTTTTTCTAATAATATTGAAATTTAATTAGCAAGAGTTTTTTTTTTAGTTTTGTTTCTAATTACTCACGATTTTTAATCGATGTTGCGAACTTAAAAAAAAAAAGTAAGGCTAGGAAGACTTAATTTAGAGACTAAATTTTAGAAACTAAAGAACATAAAAGTTGATGATTGATTTATTACTTAAGCGTTGATAGATATGCTCATTTATATTAGTAACACATCATTTAGTTTGCAATTTTAGTCTCTAAATTTAGTCTCCCTAGCATTACTCTTACAAAAAAAACTCTCATAAAACCTATTATATTGGTAATTTCTCCATACTATATAAACTTCCTAAAATTTTGGGTAGGACGTTCAAAGAATTTTGAGAACTCTGTTCTCACTACGTTTTTCTAGCTTAAAATGCGTTTAAAAACAATACTTATGTGACTCAATATATAATACACAAATTTACAACATTTTCCATAACCATCCTGTCAAACATCTTATGAAAACCCAACAATCCCCTTTTTCAAGAAATCAACACCAAAATAAAAAAATCCTATTTTCTTGGTATTTTTATCGAACCATACGATTCTTCAAGTTAGACCGACGAAAAAGGGATCCCCAAATATTTTGTTGCAAGAAACTCGAATTAGTTGTGGAGTCTGCTCCACATTGAATATGAATGATCTCAAGTATATTAAGGTCTCCATTCATAGTTTATCGTTACCAAAAAAAAAAAAATCAATATGAAACCATTTACCGATTTGGTTATGTTGAAATTTCAATGTTACCAGGCGAAAACGTTTTGTGCCTCAATTTTTATGGTACAATTAGATACCTCAATAATTTTTTATATGACTAATAGTTTAAGAGAATAATATTTGAAAGGATAAAATTTTAAAAATTCAATATAATCTATGAAGTAAAATTTAAAAAAATCATAATACGAAAGGATGAAATTCAATATGAAGTTGGCACCCCAACTAGTATTTTTTTTCTATTTTTTTATTAGTAAAAATTGAGAACCCTTTCCTTAAGGTATATATTTGGAAAATAATTTTCCATATCTTATTCCCATGTACTGATTTCATACCTCGTACAATTGATTTTCTTTTGAGTTATTGGTTAATTAAAAAATAAAAATTGCAATACATTATCACCCAACAAATACAACTTATGTAGATGGTTTTTTATTGCATTGACGAAAAATAATCATGCTTATGCACTCTAGTACTGGTTCGATCTCACCAGTATTGCCTTTCTTCTAACAAATACAGAAGCTTCCTCATCCAAGGAAAGAACAAATATAGAAGGTTCTCTCAAAATGAAAAGAAGAAAAACAGATTTGGCAGCCAGGCAAGCCCCCGAATCAAACCAACGACCACCGCTCCCCCTTCAAAATAAACCCACTTAGCCTCAGCTTCGGACCCGAACCTACACTGACGACCGTTACACCGAACCTAAAGTTTAAAAACTCCCCACACACCATTTCATTTCAAACTCCACCTCTCTCTCCACCCCCCCCCCCCTTGTCTCTCTCTCTCTCTCTCTATTTCTGCTTCTCTCTCTTGATTTCTCTTATAAAGTCTCTTGCTTTCTCTCATCAAGATTTCGCAGAAGTAATTGGGAAAGCAAGAAATTGAATTTTGAGGAAATGGTGTCCAAGATTGTGAAGAAGAATGCCAACAGGCGACGCAATCGCGGAAAGTCCTCGGCCAAGAAGGAGGCAGTCGCGGCCTCCTCCGCAATGCTAGCCTCCCTCTTCGATTGCCCCCGCCGCCTCGTCAAGCTCTTCGCGAAACTTGCGAGAATCGGCACGCCGAACCGCCACAGGGGCTTCAAGATCCTCAAGAAAGCCCAAGTCCACGAGGCGGAGACGGAATCTGAACCCGGATCGGGAAACCCGCTCTGTCGCAAGCTCTTGTTCGAGCCACCGCTTACGCCGCTGCTCTCTCCGGAGAAGATGACGGTGTTTCTCGACCTGGATGAGACCTTGGTGCACGCACAGGCCGACCCGCCGCCGGAGAAGTTCGATTTCATAGTGCGCCCGAGGATCGACGGAATCGAGATGAACTTTTATGTTCGTAAGCGTCCCGGAGTGGACGAGTTGTTGGGGAAGTTAGGGGCGAAGTACGAGGTGGTGGTATTCACGGCGGGGTTGAGAGAGTACGCGTCGCTGGTGCTGGACCGGTTGGACCAGAAACGGGTGATTTCACACCGGCTATATCGGGACGCCTGTAAAGAAGTGGACGGGAAGTTCGTGAAGGACTTGTCCGGGTTGGGGAGGGACTTGAGCCGGGTCGTGATTGTGGACGACAATCCCAATTCGTACGTCTTTCAACCGGACAATGCCGTTCCGGTCCGTCCGTTTGTGGACGACATGGAGGACCGGGAGCTGGGGAGGTTGGTGGAGTTCTTCGAAGGGTTGGACTGTGAAGATATGAGGGACGCTGTGAAGAAATTTCTTGGCAGCACTGGCGGCAGAGACGGCGGTGGATCGAAAGACGGCGAAGCAGTGTGAATGTCGTTTGACTCAACGGGATTCATTTTCCGTCGAGTTTGTTTTGTTGAAGTTGAACAAGCATTGTTCAACGGGACTCTTCTTTTTTCACCAGATTTGGCTTGAATTGTACACTCAGCTCTCAGCTCACAGCTCAGTTGCTCAGTCATTTATAATTGTGCATTGCTTAAAGATTGAATCTTGATCATCATTTCTTGCTGCAATGTTTGAGAGATTCTTAGGTGGATGTGTACGTCACTCGTCCGCTCAAGACACGCAATCGAAATCTTCAACATTTGTGTGTGTTTGGGCTAACTTGTGACATGGTACACACTTCCAATCATTTTCTTGCAGTGTTTTGGTACCAAAATCCTTCACTCATTTCTTGTTGCAGTGTTATGGCTTAGGCATCGTGTTACCACTATCTGCACCGAAATTCGACCTTAAGGGGGTGTATTCAATTGAGAATTTGAGAGATTTTAATGGATTTTTATAAAGTTTAATTGATTTGTAGAGATTTCATATAAAATCTTCAATTCCTTTGAAATCTCATGGGAAGAGGTGAGATATATGCTTAAAATACACTATGAAATCTCTCAAATTCCCTCAAATTCCTTAACTTTCTCAAATTCTTTAAAATCAATTTCTAATTGAATACACCTAGAATGTTATAAATTTCTTTAAAATCCTAATTGAATCGACCCGGATTTCTAAGGATTTTAATAAATTATCTTAAAATTCTAATTGAATACACCTTGAATTTCAGAGAGTCACTTAAAATTTTGATTGAATACACCCCCTAAAATTTTGATTAAAAGAATTAAAATCTCTCAAAATCCCAATTGAATACACTCCCTAAATATCGCTCCAATAAAATAAGAACACGAAATAGAGATGAATGTAATAAATCTTGCTACTGAGTACTATGTGGGACTGCAATCATGCAATTTTTGTCTCCATTTCGCATTTTTAGGGCCTATATTTTAGGAAGCAAAGATTTTTGTTACAAAATCCACTCTTGACCTGCAATTTAGCTCTATGGAATCCCGGGATTTAATGCCAAACCCCACATTTCCTGTGCTGTTATTTAGGTCTATCATCACTACGTCTTTGAGGGTAAGGGCCAAAGCAGAGGATCTAAGCTTCGTTCGAGCAAACGAATCTCTATTCGTTTTTGTTTTCCTTGTTCTTAGCATTCAGCTCTACAACAAACCGAATAAGTTTTCGAAGTGGTACAACAAACCAATAATAAGATGAATCGAAACACGCCAATACTACCACCATATCCAAGATTTCTCAGTGAAGATATATACCACCATTCCTCATTTCCGACCTCATTTATAATTCACCTTAAAATACAAATACACCGGGATCTATTGGAACTGTTTTTCAGCTTCTTGCCCCTCAAGTCGCCGAGTACATACAGAACTACAAAACAATCGTATCGCCCACACATGACTTGTAGGACAACCTATGGCATGCCTTATTAGGGCAAACATACACCAACTCCTATTCAGAGTGGTGCTACTACAGGCTGAGGTTGCAGGGTTCAAATTTTGGTTGGCTTCACAGAAAATTTTGTCAACTAAATAAATAACCCTCAAACATGTCCGGGGAGCTGTGACAACCAAAGATTCCAAAACCTGATTGCCCTACACTTGAAGGGATCTTTTCTATAGCAAAGTCCTTACGTAATTTATCTTCCTAGTTCACTTATAGAATCCTCCATATGAAAACATTCACAAAACTCTACAAAATGTGTCTCAATCTCTTTCCAAGTATAACATTATCTTACAACTCAAACTTCCTTATTATCCGAAGAGTAGCGACTTTCGCACTCTCATTTTCTCCGTTTGCACCCCTCCCCTTGTCTTTACGCTTTGATTCTCCTTCCGTTTGCTCATTTACCAAAGCGCAAAAACACGTTGGACGAGAGCGCAAATCGAGAAAATGAGAGTGCGAAAATCGCCACCAATCCCAATTCTTCAATGAGCAAAACCACAATCTTCTAATCCACAACAATCACAATTTCAATCACATCCCATCAAGACTCAGATCTTCAATCGAAGAACAGAAGCAATTTCATTTCACAAAACATCATTTACAGATCACAAGACGCAGTATGCAGTTGCAGAATTCAGTACTCAACTCAACAAATTAAACAATTAGATCAAAGCCGAAAAGATTTGAAAAGCAAATGACTTCAATCAATCAACTCAAAGCTTACTGATGATTTCTGCTGAGTCGGGAGTAGTCAATTTTGCAAGTGAAGACCTGAAGTGGCAACCGCAAAGCCTCGAGCTTCGGGAAGCACATGTCGTTGAGGACGTCGCTGCGGCACCACCGGCAATTGGGGTTGCGGGAGCACTGCGATTCCGACGACATGTCGTTGCAGTTCTGGATCTGACTCTGATCGCCGCCGTTGTTTCTCCTTTGGCTGCCCGACAGCTCGCGACCCGGACGGATCCGAGACTCGGCACCGTGGCACGAGCTGTACAGAGTAGCTAAGAGGACCAGGACCAGGATAAAGGTCGCGGCTTTAGAACTCGGACCGCGAGACTCGGTTGCCATAGATGGTGAGTCGCTGCCTCGGACTCTCTGCTGCCGGTTCGCTCGCGGGGATGTAAGAAGCAAGAACACTACCTTGTAAATAATAATTATTTATTATTTATTATTTATTTTCCATAAAAATAATTATTAATTAAATAGAAGTATATTAACAGAAATAAAACCCGGAATTAATAGAGAGGAGGAAACGTTTAAGAGAGGAAGACTGACCTACACGACAATACAGCTTCTTCCTCCTTCTTCTACTCTTTAACCATTTTCAATCCTATTGTTTTTCTATGCTTTCCCAATCAAATTTAATTTATTAATTTTCGATTTCTCTCCCTCCTAATTTCTTCATCCTGGCAGCAGAATCCGTTGCGATTTTCCTTGATGATCAGTATATGCCCACGAATAACATAGAGATTAAAAATCGAAGCTTGATTTGATTAAACTAATGGACGGTCCCCGCAAACTGAATTCTGAGGTTGAGGCCGACGATTTGGCTTCTGGGGTTTCGGATTTTTCACTTCAGGGAGGCACCCTCCGCTCGAATTTCCATTCTCCGCCGGTAATTTCAATTCTCTATTGGTTTAAATTGAATTGGGTTTTTTTTAATGTTGTTTGATAGTGTGTGTTTAAGTTTTCTATTCAATTTTGGGATTTGATCCTACGCTCTGTGTATATCTTGACGTATTCGATTATTATTCGTTGATATGAAGTCCCAAAATTTAGTTGGTATTGCCTCAGCTGTGAAAACAGTTAGGATTTAGGGTTCCTTTTCGAGGTTCGGAAGTAAAATTCAATTCGGAGAGATGGGAAAGTTACAGTCTTTAGGTGGTTTTTCGTGGTTTTAATTTTAGGGTTTCTATGAAAATAATATAGTGACTGGGTCCTTCTGATAATTTTAGGTTCTGATTTTGCTGCCTGTAAATATTGCTATGTGCTTGTGGTGCGCTACTTATTGAATTGAAAGTTTGAATCTATTCGAAATTGGATACATGAAACGCTAACTGGTGCTGTTTTGTGGATCACAGAATGATGGAGTTGATAATCACGGAGAGCAGAAGCATAATGATGATCGAATAGTGACAGAATCTGGAGAATGTGACTCTGAGGTTCATGGGAAGGAGAATGGGGAGCAAAGAAAATACTTCTATTATGAAGCTCCACTTTCTGAAGAAACGGGGGTTTGGATACCTGTTTCTGTTCCGCCTATGTGGGAAGCTGAGCATGATGAGTGGGGCAAAGGTTTCTACTCTAATGGGGGATACCTTCCCGAGAGTGACATGGGCTGGGGCCAGTGCATTGGGGAAGAGAAGGAGCTGACTATGTGGGATGTGATGGTAGAAATGTTGCTTGCAGCCCGTGGGAAAGTAGGTTCATTAGCTTCAGCTGATACGTACGGATGTAAACTTTCGTGGATGTCAGGTAATCTCCTTGATCAAGCGTGGAAAGAAATGGCCCAAACACTCACAGATGCAAATTTTGCTAATGTAAGAGAACTCATTGAAGCCGACCCACCAAAATGGTTGGCCGATAGTTCTGCATCTTCTTGTATGCTTTGTGGTGTGCACTTTCATCCAATCATGTGTTCTAGGCATCACTGTCGGTTTTGTGGAGGAATATTTTGTGGTGACTGTTCTAAGGGAAGGAGTTTGATGCCGGCAAAGTTCCGTGTTGCGGATCCCCAACGAGTCTGTGATGTATGCTGTGTACGACTAGAGTCTGTCCAACCATACTTAATGGACCAAGTAAGCCATGCTGCCCAGGTTCCAACCCAAGATCTTACAGACCTTAGTACTTTGAGGTCATGGATTAATATTCCTTGGGGACACTCCATGGAGTATGAGATATATAAGGCAGCAAATGCAATTCGTGTTTATAAGAAGGTAAGAGTCTTAAGTGTCAGTACTGTTGAACAAATAATATTTTGATGCTTGCTGTTTTAATAGCCAGTTATCTACGGTTTTGCCTCAAAAGGCTTTTGCCTTATTGTTCTAATTGCATTAAGAAAGCCCAATATCTTAGTGACTATGTTTGCTTAGGCCTTATATTTTTCTTGTCTGACTTAAATAAATGTGGGCTACAATTTTGCCCAGCATGGATGATAAACGACGGTTGGAGAATTCATGAATATCGTTATTTGTAGGATATTAACATGTATTCATAAATTTTGAATGACATTGTCTTCCTAACGTTCTTGAGTTTTCTATAAATGCTGCTCATGGAATTAATTGCCTCAGGTATGTTCACTAAAGCCTGAGAAGTCGATTCCAGATTCCATTCTGAGACAAGCAAAAGGCCTTGCAATAATCACTACTGTGAAAGTTGGAGCTATGGTTACCTACAATATCGGTACAGGAGTTGTGATTGCTCGTAGAGAAGATGGCTCTTGGTCTCCACCATCTGCTGTTTCTACATTCGGTATAGGTTGGGGTGCGCAGGTACGATTATTTCACTGTATCTCCGATCTTACATTTAGCAACCACTATGACAGAGATAGCCGGTTCATACCTGCATTCAGTATACACTTAAGGTTTAGTAAAATGGAGGAACATCATTAAGATTAAGCAGTTTTCAGAAAATAATTACTTACCATTTTAGAAATTTTTTTGTGTTGTCTATGTCTATTTTAAATTGGGTCCTTATTCCCGAATTCCAATTCAAAATCAGCATGTGTTTTGCATTTTTCTAAGGATTTAAAAACTCCATCCTCATGCCTCCTTTTTGGTTGCAGGCTGGAGGGGAGTTGACAGACTTTATCATTATTTTGAGAACAAGTGAAGCTGTAAAGACATTCAGTGGCAATGTGCATGTATCAGTAGGAGCCGGTTTGAGTGCTGCAGTCGGTGTTGTTGGAAGGGCAGCTGAAGCTGATGTTCGAGCTGGAGATGGCGGTTACTCTGCTTGTTATACATACAGCTGTAGTAAAGGTGCTTTTCATATGCATTTTTTACGTCTCACCTTATACCATTTCAATTATCTACGTAGCATACATCAGCATCACGATGTTTTATCTGTAGTTTCTTGCATTTTTCTTTTTCTTCATCTTCCATTTTGAGTGGTTTCCTTATGATCGTACCAATCATTTCGATTTGCAGGTGCGTTTGTTGGATGCTCACTGGAAGGTAGTATTGTAACCACCCGCACGAAGGTGAATTCTCGATTTTATGGCAGCCAGTCAATAACTGCATCAAATGTTCTTCTTGGCTCGTTGCCCCAACCCCCTGCCGCTTCTACTCTCTATCGTGCTCTTGCAGACCTATATCAGAAGATCGAGCAGTGACCCCAAATCATTCGCTGAAGATTGCCGGGTGATCATGGGGAAACAAATCGTTGCAGTTTGTACATTATGTGCATATATGCCCTGAAGCTTTCCAATGATGAAGGTTCGTTGCTGCCATTCTTTGCCCGTGAAAAACATTTTCTGGGACTTACCGTGTACACGGGGGCCATTGCAAGGGAGGGGCGAAAAATGTTCCTTATTTGGAGCCACTGTATATAAACCATGCCTTGTCATTTTCTCTCTGTAAATGTAACATTTATTTTGGAGAAAGCCAAAACTTACAGAAACAGTATTTCTTTACAAAAGAAATCAGCAAAAGTAGTATTTTGTGGGTGTTTGTGTTAATATTTAACTTTGGGCTTAGAGGAGAGAAAGCCCAAAAGAGTTCAATAAGAAGAGTTTCGCTCAAAGCCCAGCACCAAGCCCAGGCTGTCCATCTCAAGACCAATTGGCGTTCCCCCATTAATGCAAAGGCTAGGTGCTTACAAGAGAAGTGACAACTGATGAAAATCAACCTACTCTCAGCCCAAAAGTACTTTTCAGTGGCAATACAAGTAAAATAATGATGAGTCACTACCCTTCAATTGCTTTCGGGCAAGAACAAAGCTACAGACAGCCGGACTAATTCTTTTATAAAATGAGGAAGGTGGCCCAAAGACAAGGACATTCAATCAATCAAACAAATAAACAAACAACTTGTCTCTCATCCAAGCAAATACCCATAAAGCCGTGCTTTGTCCAGACTCTACATCCTTTTAGCCTTAGATTTCCTTAGAAAGACATTTTTGTATATGTAAAAGCTCTGCTACCTTTTCCTAAATGATGTAGTATCGATCCCTCGTGTATAAACTCGTTTCCAGTCATCTCCTTTACTACTCAATCCTTTTGTAAACTGCAAAGAGAACAGACCTCAAGACGTTTAACCTTACCCGACAAGGTGAAATATTGCCTGACTTTCTTTGTTTTTGTCTTTCAATTAACATATTTGGTGTTATAATGTATTCCCTAATTTATATTCAAGTTATTTCCAGTCCTTTGATGACCCAAAGCCCCATCAGTTTTCAGATATGGTTCACTTAGTGGTTTTCTCAAGAATTGGAATGAATTAAACTGATGACTTGATCATATATGAACCTTCACCCCTCGAGCATACAAGATAACTAAAAGTCCTTGATCTCAAGGCATAGAAAAGAACTTAATGTAGACTTAACCTATCTACAACAATCCTTTAATAAACAAGAAGTCAGAAATAACTTGGGGCGCAAGTAATCGGCTTAAAACACACTTGTTCTACATTTGCCATACAGAGATGGCAATGGCACGCCTAAGCACCTAGTTGGTTTTGATTACGAGCCTCAAGGCCTACACCTAAGGCCCCACAAATGCACCCTTCAGAACTAACTTTGTTCTCCTCTTGCAGTATTGTGACAAGCAGGAGCCTGACAATCAACCAAAGTGCTAACTCCTCGGGGAGCTGTGTGCTTGAGCCAAGAACGCCCACCAGCCAGATTTCCTACTCGAACAGTTGGGAAACTTGTTTTGTCACTCGTTGAGATCAGAGATTAGTGTTTAAAATATCTATGAAATTGTCGATATTTTTTGTTGAGATATGCAAAAAATCAAGGATCAATATGGAAATATGGAAAGGGTTGAAATGCAAACTTTACTTTATATCGTCGAGATATAGGAAAACAATGAATGATGATACTTACCGATTCAAAACAGAAATGTGTCAGAACTCATTGCAGATTTTTTTCGAGTTTTTTTTTTTTGAGATATTTTTCTTTAATTTCGACTAAATCTAAATAAGTTAATATACCCACTTACATTGTAAAATCTTCATAATTTTTTACGAACGCAACTGATATTGATACATGATGAACATTTCACATCTGAAATCCGATTCAATGATAAATCGAAAATCCGAAACCAAACAAACATGGAAATGTATCAATCCTTCCAAATGATAAGAAAATTTTGACGAGGAATGAAATTAAAAGAAGGGGCAAAAAAACACCACCATGAACTATTTATAATTTAACTTTTAGTCCTCTTTTGTTAACAGAAGGAAGGCTCCTACTCTCTGTACTACTAACTCATCAACTGAAACACCCAGCAGAAATGAAGTCGAAACTTCGCAAGAATCTCAATCAAGAGACTCGCACACAATTATCTTCTAACCCTATTCGCTCAAACCGCTCTATCTTCAACGCCAACGTAAGTCCTTAACAAACAAAGCCGGTAAAGTCGAGGAATTCTCCAAATGCTGGATCCATTTCGCCTCTAATCGGTTCCTCCAACTTACCTGGTCCGAGTGCTCCCCAGCGTAAGTTCGAGATCATCTGATACGCATTCCTCAATCCTCTCACCTTCCCATGGCTTCACTAATCCTGTTGTGTTACTGCCAAATGCAAACTCCGCTGCCATCCCATCCGACATTGGGATGTCACCAGTGTGATCAATACTTGCAGCAACGGCCGGGGAACATGTTCCACTTTGCCCAGGAGTCCACATCCGAGACCCTGCACCTGACAAAGCCTCCTTCAAGTTAAAAGGGTTTTTCGAGACGAGGCTGAATGTTGGGGATGATGGGCCACTCTGAGGAATTTGCAGTCCAGCAAGCCATCCTGAATCAGGCAGACCCTGGCGACCGGGGCTTGGTGGGGTGGACGAAGGCAGGAAAGGGTAATGCTGCCCTGCCCAGCTTGAGCCAGCCACTGCTTCATCCCAGTCGCTCTTGGTTCGAGGAGTTCGACAAGTTGGGGAGCTCAGTGGTGGGGTGACTGGAGCACTTATGGAACCCCCTTGAACAAAGAATTGGGGGAGCTTGGACGTGGCAGAGGATGAGCCTGATGAGAGCGTTTTAAGCCATGGGATCAGAGAATTCGCATCAGCATTACCGTTTTCATTTGCATGGTAGCGGGCAGGACTTGGGAAGGAAGATGAGGCAGGACTTGGATTGTAGGATGCGCCGGGACTTGGATTGTAGGATGCACAGGGACTTGGCTGGTACGATGAACATGGACTTGCTGAGGTAGAACCCCCCATTATGTCCATGCGATCCACGGGTTTGCATCCCTACAACAAAGAACACATAAAGTAGGGTGAGACAAAGAACATAATATGGTGCTGAAAAGATGCTACATTAACTGTGTTTCATTCATTGTTTTCCTAAATTTGAACAGACAAAATAGTTGATCGAAGCAGAAAGATTTGTCCTTTATCGATTACGCTTTACAGCTATGTTTTCTGTACCAAAGGATAACACAAACGAGCATAGTTCTACAATCATCACTTCCATAGTCATTGCCAGTTCGAAAAAGCATCGAACTAATGATGAAGTCTTATGAAACTACAATCTGGCTAGTATCCGGGGAAAAAAACTTGCATACACTCGAGATTCACATCCTATGTTCCAATAGCAATCATCGCGTGAGGTGACCTAGTCCAACAAGCATAGGAAACTTAGGCCATGCTTGTAATTTGACTAATCGCACCAAGATTCAGAAGTAAGACACAATTAAAAGAGGCAGCAATAATGTCAAACAGCGGATGCATATTGGTGACACGGCCCCTCCACGACACGCCATCTCCCAACATGTTCCCTCTCCATCACCATCTCAAAAAACCCACCGCACACGCTTTCCTGCCACAGTCGCGTTCACATTTTTAGCAAAAAATGAGAATCCAACGAGAAAAATCTCACCCTTTTTCTCACCTAATTCTCTTTCGGGCTAAAACCCATGTTTTTTTTTTGTCAATTAAAGATATTCACAAAGTCGCATACAATGCACTCGCAGTGCCACAATGAAGGTAATCCATCACAACATTGCCAAGTACAATTAGGTATCGAACCCATCAGCACAAGTATCAACTCTAACGCTTACGTGAGTTAATTTCTAATTAAATAAAGATAAATACCACTAAATCATATGTAATACGTTGTATATTTTAATCGCTAAGGGAAATTCCACTTTCCGAATAAAAAACTAATTATTAAAATAAACACCGAGATTATAAAAAGGGCGAGAGCACCGGCCCACAGACCATGATATGCCATGTTCTCAATCTAACGGAAAAGTACTGCTGGCGATTGCCCCGCAAATCTCGGAAAATAGGCCGTATAACTCCAAAAATATAAAATAAAATAAAAGTCATTGGTCGTCGCACCCATTTGGGTGTATAAAGACCGAACTGCCCTCACAGTCTAAAGGAGAGTGTAGGTGCGTGAAGTGGCACTTTCGTGCATGATGAACGGTAAGTTTACCGCAGTAAAAGGTCTTTTCACTTTCACTCGCATCTGCAGATTCTCAGAAGAAGTTTATAAAAAAAATAAAAAATGAAAAATAAAAAAAGTCGAAAGAACATTCAGTTGCATTAAAGCCATGTGAAAGTTGACGGTGGGTAAAAAAGCCAAATGACGAAACTACCCTTGGAGAAACCCGAACGGCCGACATGGTCGAGTACGCGGGGGAGGTCGTTTCCCCGGTCTCGCAGGGTAGTTTGGGAACACAAAAAGGTCTGCAGGTCTCTGAGTCTTTGAGTTCATCGTGTTCCGGAAAAGAAATCGAAAGCAGCTGCAGAAGCGAATCTCGAAGAACCTCGTGCTCCGTGCGCGCAACCCCTCTCGGCGTTCACGAGCTAACGTGCGCCGGTAGCTAAGTTAATTGACTAAGAAATCAAGCAACCGAATCAATCTCAACCGTCGATCACGACGATCGGCACCGGACTAATCACGAGCTCCGCCGCTTATGCTACCTTAATCGAGAGTTTTCAAAAGCACAAAAGAAAAACCGGATCGGTAACAATCTACTAACGCCGCCGGCGCAATTTAACTGCGCCGGAGCAGATTTGCTAGCGTGCGCATTCGAGCTGAAAATGCTTTGAAAATTTAGAGAGAAAGAGAGAGAGAGGGAGGGATGAATTGTGTGTGCACCTTTCGGTAAGTGGTACCGTCTTCTTCGACGGTCCAGCCGGCTTCGTTGCAGAGAGCTTTGAGGACCTCGTTGTTGTCGCAGTGCTTCGGGAGCTTGTAGTTTCCGTACATCCGAAGCCCGGAGTAGATCTTCGCGGCGATTGCCCGGCGCCGCCGCTCCCGCTTCTTGTTGTTCTCTCTCTCCTTCCACGTCGGCATTCTCGTTCCCGACGTCATCATTCGGTCGCTCAGCGTTTCTGATTAATTTTCTCGGGGAACCAAACGGATCAACCGGCAAGTGGGGAGGACCGGTGGCGCGAACTGGCCGGCGAACCGGGATTGGCCCTTTTTGGTGGAGACCGAGCGGTTTTATTACACAGAGATAGAAGAGAAGAGCAGCGGGCTTTGGAGGAGGGCGAGCTAAATACAGTGGGTGAATGTAATAGCCCCTGGATGAGGACAATAATTACGAAGAGTGCCACTCCTTTCTTTTGA